AAAAAAAAAGACATATTTTGGGTTAAGTAAGCACCAATAGGCACAAGTAAGAGCATTACTGCCAGAATGATATTCAACTAAAGGATTCAAAACTGGATAAGAATAGGGGACCAACGAACCCGAGAAGATGCCGAGACATAAAAGCATAGCTGCGATAACTGTGAGTAGGAGAAAGCAGAGCATGTCCATACGGACGCCCACCCACCGACTGGCTCCTACACCAAAACAGCAGGCTCGTGTGTGTTGGTCCGTTAATGAGTGATATTCCAGCCTTTGGGTCTCCTCACTCCTTGAAGCTCTGATGCAGGGCAGGCCTTTGACGGTTATCTTAAGATGCGCGAAAATGGGGCTTCGAGCTGCAAAAGAATAAAAAACGGAAGTGAATGCGTTAACAGTGCAGACCTGCGGGCAGACAGATTAGATTGTCCAAGGAATCCCGGGTAAGGATAGCGTGAGACCCGACAGACTCTCATTTTAATCTATGCCTACTTATTTCAAGTAAGTAGAACTTTTATTTCAGGACTACGGTTTAAGAATAGGGAACCAGATAGGGTTGGATTTAGGGTTAACTTTGGCTGATCTTATCCAGACAGGCAAACATTAACCAATACGCATGGGTCATCTGACTACAGCTTATTTTTGCTCTCTTTATTGGCATCTTTCAAACTAAACTGTCTGGTACGGCATGTCGCTGGCGTATTAAGACAAACGTATAAGCCAGATGCGATTTTCTCAATTTTTCACCGCCATCTGCCCCAGGTACAAAATCTCTATTTACATCAATCACGTAATACTAGGGGCCCTGTGCGCCATTTTTCCGACATGGCCACACACGCTGTCGTTGTAGAATCATGTTTACTATTATTTCCGATTGCATTTCATCGGTTTGCGGTTGTGAAGACGGAGGATTTATTCTACATCTGCCGATGCGTCCAGTTCAAGTTTTTTGGCTTAACTAAGGCACGCCGTTGACACAGGGATAGGAAAAGTGAGTGCCATTTATATGGTTAAGACCTAATTCTGGGTTTGCTTGTAGGCAACAATAAAATGTGCTTTGAAACTATCACGACACGGTAACAGGCCTAACTTGATAGATTTCGGACTTAATTATACGCAATAATTAGCAATGAACAATCCTCAGATAAATACTGGATCTTTCCGTCTGTGAAAGATGACATTTTCCATATTCATTGAAATGTTCCCTCCAGTATTCTTGAAATTTTTTTTCTTATCAACTTGAAAATGGGAATGTTGAAGACCTACAACCTTCCCTACTAAGAGGCTGCTGTCTTTGTGACAGTAATAGTTGGATACAAATTAATCGACTGATTCACGGACGGTACACCCAGAAGATTTAAGGTGGACTAGGGAAGGAGAATGTGTCCCTACCACGTGGATTTGAAGGCCGACATATCATCCACACATTCAGCAAAAACATTTAAGATTCTGGAACTGCACCGGGTGGCGAGTAATGTTTAACCGAATGACGAGTAATAGACGTGCGTTCCAATATTACAGCAAAGGTAACTGGTCCCCCAGAGTTAGGCCCGTCAATGCTTGAGAGCATTACCGGGGCTTAGCTCGAGACCTGAGAACCAGCTCATCTCGCAGGTGAATTTTTCGGAATGTCATTCTACGGTCCTTTAACTAAGCATGGCTAAATTTTATGGGATAGTGCAACTATTAAATTTTTAGCGTGCAAACTGGGCCAAAGATTTGGGCAAACACACTATAATTGGTACGCTTACCGACACTTTCAATTCTCTTCAACTGTCTGGCGGCTCGTAGGTAGTAATTGCGGTAGTAGATCAATCCAAAACACAGAGGTACGATCGGGATCACGCTCCAGTAACTGGCAATCATGGCGACAATAAGCGAGCTAGCGCAGGTGAAGAGTAGCTGGAAGAAAGAGGATGGGGCTCTTCAAAGATGTATATCGCGCCCACAGGCCAAAATAAGGGTTATCCAATTTTACAGAAACAAATAACATTGACGTTGTAACTTACCATACTAACAGCCTAGGTACTTGCTAAAAGG